CCCCCTATAACACTGTTGATTATTCCGTTTTATATGAATTCCATGTTGTACGAGTCATTTAGATTTTACAAATACGTGAGCCGTTTACAGCCCGGCACACATATTTGTAAAATCTAAGTGACTCGTATAACATGAAATTCATATAAAACGGAATAATCAACAGTGTTATAGGAGGTCGACTTGTAATTTTAATTTTCTTCCCTTCAAACGTGTTTTTTTAATAAGATAGAAGTGTCTAATTTCCTAATTTATTTTTAAAAAAATACAAATTATCTTTAATTACAATTTTTACAATTTTTAATTACAAGTTTACGTGATGATATCGGAAATTCACGCCGTGATAGATTTTTCTACAGTAATGTATCAAAAAGGTCTCTTATCCAATGGAGAATACATAATTATCTACGTGGAGGAGGAAGAAATATATAATCCAAACATTCAACAGATGTATATTAAAAAGTGTAAGAATTTTATAATTAATTTATCACAAAAATTAATTTGATAAATAAATTTTTATTAAATAATTTAATTAATTCAAATTTTTCGTTAACCGATTTTTGGACCACTCTGCATTATTCGACTGTTTTATAACATAAAAAATTTAATTTATAATTTGAATTTTTTTAAAGATTTTTTAAATTAATTTTTGAATTCTCGATTCCTACAACGTGACCTTAATCCTAGCGTAAATAGATTCAATTTAAAATGGTTTAACACTGGACATTATCTGCGGGTTAATTAATTTTATTCTGCAGAATTACAACAAAGAAAAAATGTTATGTAAGACTTTCTTCTATCATCAATTGATTACGAGACTCATCACTTTCCATTAAAGGTAAAGATATTCGATGTGGGTAATTAGATCTTGAAGATATTTTTTTTTTGTTCATACAAAGAGATATTCGGATTTAATTTCTGTTCAGAAATTTTAAAAAAATTCCTATAAATTTCTAGTGAAACATTTTAAAAATTCTTCGTGATTTACAGAATTCACTTGCTTTCGTACTTTGCCGGATGTTTTAGATATAACAGAGGAAAAAAGGAAAAGTTAAGCAACTCGATTAACTATATAAGAACTTCCGATTTAGACCAGAAATCATGTGATTTCAATTCATAAATTTTCCCCCGAACGAAGTTTAGATACATGACAGGCACGACTTCATTGTTAACTGGAAAAGTATGAGGACAATACGCTACTAAACTTAAGAGTATTGTGACGATGTCATATTAAATAATCGTTTTTTTAACAATTTGAATATTTATAATATTTTCTCTTTTTATGTTTATATATCAGGATATAAATAAGAATTTATAACTTGTGTTTCGTATACTGTATTGTTTTCTTAAACGACGGATTAGGTTTCTTTTTTCTTTTTATTTTTGGAAGATAATTAGTGTTTCTTCTAATTTCTCGTCCCACTTTTTAACTATTTTTCTCGACCTCCTTACATAATCTTAATTTCTCACGTTTCTCCACTCGATATTTCATTCTTTCGGATGATAGAAGGGGGATCCGCGATCGACTCCGGATTCCCCTTCAGGACTTTCCAGGAATTTTTAATGAACTGTCTGTTTTAAATATTTTGGGTCTCGTCCCTTATCTCTAGCCGAATCCACTATGGAAATGGAAAAAAAGACACTTTCTGATTGAAAAAAAAGGACACTCTGACTGCTCACGAGGCAGAAAGAGCCCCCCAAAAAGGGAGAAAATACTTCATTATTGATTTCTAACAACATAACACATAATCAGCATTAGGTCTGAATGAAAAATTTAATCTTAATCTTATGAAATAAACAAAACAAATTAAATTTAATCGAAACATTCATTCCCCCCCCAATTCAATGGGATCTAGTTCAATCTTGACTGATGTAGGACTTACATGAAAAATTGAGAAATGTAGAAAAGAAAATTCTTTGTAAATGGTCTGTCCCGGATATGTCAAACACTTCTCCGACATATCCGGGAACTGGCGGAACTCACGATGGACATGGACAGAAATGCCCTTTATGTGTTTCTATATTGTCTACTTGGACCTTATTACACTGGTCCTATTAATAAATAAGATCCAAGTAGACAATATAGAAACACATATGTAAAACCGTAAGGACATAGAGGGCATTTAATTCTTTTTACTTCTAAGTTTATTAGGCAGAAAGAATAAAAAAAATGCTAATAATGCTCATTAGATACACTAACAATATAAATTAAATTTATAATTAACATAATAATTTTTATAACTGGATTTTAAGTTTAGAAAGAAAATAATTTACGAATTAATAAATAAAACAATGCATTATAAAGATGCAGACTTAGAAGATAAATCTGGTTACTGTCCCGGCTCTGTTATATATAACAGAGGGAAAGTATTGCCATCGGTCAAGAAATTTCCCCAAGATTTTTACATTTTTCCTTGAAACGTCGAAAAATGCATAAAAATTCGGGTTTTTTTTTCCTGTCTGTATTGATGTTAGTGTTAGGGGGTCACGATTTTGTTTACGCTCTTTGAAGCTTAATAACTCCCGTGCTTTTTGTCGAAAATTTCTGACATTTTGCAGGGGGGTTTGTGTATTAGGGGGATCGATGCTATTAAATTTTGAAGGTTAAAGGTCTAACGGGTGGGGAGATAAAGGGGGTCTTGTCATAGTAGGGTCAGACTTAATGACGATTTTATTCGTTATTAGTAGGGGAAGGTGGGGC